ACGGTCACTCATTGGAGATCCTCTATCTATGTGAATACGGTCGTGTAATAAATTACTATATGTAAATATGTGTGTGATATATTACTCTAGTTGAATACGCGTGTGTGGTATATTACTGTAGTTTAATACGTGTGTGCAATATATTACTATATGTAAATACGTGTGTGATATGTTTCTATATGTGGATACGCGTGTATGATATATTACCGTAATTGAATACGTGTGTGCGATATATTACTATATGTGAATACGTGTGTGTGATATATTACTGTAGTTGAATACTTACATGGATGTGTACAATATATAATAATATCGATCATCTTTGTTGCAGATAAATGTGCTATCCATGGAGATAAATGTGCAGTTATAACGACAACAATACATACAATAATAGATTTACGCCAAGAACATTGGATATAAATCGTTTCCCTGGCAACGAACACGGCTAATAAAACTAGAATTGCTCTGCGAGAAACTGACTATCAGCGAAGATCGACTCAGCTCTTCTGTTAAGACTTCGTTGTTGGATTCTGGTGATCTGTCTATTGAGTGTACATTGCCGACGCAAACTGTGTTTGTCGGCGCTAAAAATCGCGTAAAACAGGTTGTTGAATCGCTAGTGCAATTATAGGATGTGTTAAGTGCCAACATAGATTACTTGGACATGCAATTATTTCAACTAAGATTGTTCAACACTAATTATATTGTGTGTTTATCTGTATGATATCAGACATGGCAAATATCACCAACGTTATGGACAATAATATATGTGAACACGTGAAATGGTCATCGACACTCTTTATGGTTCTCTCGACAACGGTCGGCTTCGCCTCGTGCGCCACAAATGCAATCGCAGCTTGTGTATTTTCTCGCTACAGCATACTACAGACACCGAACAATATTCTTGTGTTTTACCTAACAGTCTCCGATCTCTGCTTTATTTTGGTTGAGTTCCCGACAGTAATAGTTGTGTACGCTTTAGGTACAGACTCGTCCGTCGCCGTGTCGTTGCAATGGAGTGGTTTTTTCGCCATGTTTTTTGCAAGTATGTCGATTGGGACTAAAGTGTCTATTAGCATGCATAGGTATTTGTGTGGTCAAGCCGAAATGTACGACGTTTTCTACAATGAAGAGAGCATGTATGTTGGTACCTGTCACGTGGATTTATTCCGCTATTTGTGCTTTACCTCCTGTGTTCGGATGGGGAACATACTTTTCGGGAGAATTGGTTCCTTGTAGCTTTGGAAATCGGGCGTCCCGTTCGTACCAGCTCTATGTACTGTTTTTGACATTCATGTTACCTATTTCGCTTATGACTATGTTTTACTACCAAATCTACAAAACTATTTTACACCACTCCAGGCTTATGAACTCAGGAGCCGTCGGCAAAACGAAATTATTAAAAGTTGAACAGAAGACGAACGTTCTTATGTTAGCCGTTCTGATCACATTTTGTCTATCATGGTTCCCGTTTCACGTCGTTGCGATTTGCCGTAGTTTCTTACGCGCCGCCGTCGCACCTGCACTTGTGTCTGTATCTGTGTTACTGGCATGCTCAAGCCCTGTCATTAACTTTTTCCTATATGTCGTGGCAAACAGATCTTTTTATAAATGTATTTCTAGAATAGCATATTGCTGCAAGAATCAACAGTCGCCGCGCGCTGAAACACAACAACCCGTTCAGGATGTCCACACACACGACAGAATCACACATAACCCCGCAGCAATAGCACCGACTGATTTACAGATCCCTAATGTATTATTGACAGTTTCCAGGGATACGGATGCGGATGTGGAACTGTCACAGATAGCGGAAGAGAGACGAAAAAGCACGATAATGTCTCCCAACCCTAACGAACTGGAAGTGGAAATCCAACAGCGTAGACGCAGCGCACACAGACTTTCCGTTATAATGCTGGGCGATTTGCCCGTCGACCATCACTTCCTCGACAGCGGCTACAGTAACCAAGTGTTACAAGACACGTGGTCTAGCCCTTCAAAACATTTAGAATGTGTCGGAGAATCAGCGGAAGGCGTAGATGCGTCGCCAACAGCGTCCTTCAATGGCTCGCCGTATTTGACTGTCGTTAGCGAAGGCCGGAGAAAAACTATTGCGGGCGTAGGAATAAGACGGAAAGTTAACAAAAACGGACTGCGTTTATCGGGTAGGAATACTGTCACCGCCACCCATGCTATGGGGAGGAAGAAAAAACGCCGAGGTCAAAAGGTTTCCCCAAATATAAGTGATGGCCAGCGAGGTGAATCGGACCACAATGTAAGAGAATTGAGTACGGAGATTTCTGAACATAACGACGAATCAGCAGGTCGCTTTAACATTGTCAACACATAGCAGTAATAGGAATAACAAGTAAAATACGACAGGCTGCGGATTCCATTTTACGTCATGTAACAGCATTAGTATATAAATCAAATTTTCTCACTGTTCTCAAATTGACCTCGTTTTTATTTATCACTGTCATTGATTACAATTCACCGTGAAAACAAAGCTGCAAGCTCAGCGTTGACGATAACTAAATAATAAAATGTATACATATAAGGAGCTGGATTGAGGTGACAACTGGAATTACCTCTCATATAAGGAATATTTGCACCGGAATTATCAGGAAATATTCATGTGAATATCATATAGATTATACGTACGTCATTTTGAAATCACAACTGTTATTAATTTCAAGCCAGTTCAATCCTCGTGTTACTTAGATTGGATTTTTACGATCTGAATATTAAATATCGTGATTTAGATTCCCACTTTGATATCAGTGATATAATATTGATTTCAAATAATTGGAAACATGTTTGTTCGTTGTTGGAAAAATGTAATTCGCTCTGAATAATTGATGTACTGTTCGTCATTTAAAAACATACTTGGCTGTGGCAAACTACAATATATATTTATTATATTAAAATTTATATTTAAACATAATAATTATCTTGTTTATATGTGTGTGCCTATGTATTGATTTAATGCAAACAGTTTCTCACTGGCGCCATTCTATCGCTTATCATTGCAAAACACTCGATGGATATGATCGATAGAAGACAGTATTTTTGGTATTGTAATCCAGTTATAGCGTTTATAATTAATAACATTTCACAAACATAAACTGAGCAATCGTTTAGAATATTGCGATACATTGAAATAATGTCCCGAGTTCCAACGTAACATGTCATAAATAATTACCTGGATACCTTGAAAGTGTTTCGCCTGTTTTGGGTGTGCAGGTCAATAGCACTGTTAAAAGGACTGCTAGACTAAAACATTTTGACAAAGTATAAAACTGTGCAAAATCTTGGCACATAGAAATGAAGACTCTGTCCGTTTTGTACAGCCCGGGGTCATGTTTTTAGACAAAGTCCTTTAAATAAAACATTGTGAAAGTCAAATCTTGATGTCAATAAACTGCTCTAGTGGAAACGATCAAAAAAGGCGAGGTGTTAGCGCGTGCGTTTTCACGTCCTTTGTTGTTGTAAGACGTCTCCTTGATGCGCAAGTTTTATCGCTTGAAATGGGTCGCTAGATCGCACAGTAACATTGGTACAACATCTAATATTTTGTTGTTCTGGTGGTTGAATGACTTGTCATAAATTGAACAGTTGGTTTGCAAGTTATTTGCCACTTCAAGTATTTCGCCAATAAGATGTTTTGATTATCCCGACACCGCTAAAGTATTTATACCGCCAGCTTCTTTATCTGGTACCCTCTCGGTCACAAAGTAACAATATTCATCGAAATGGTTCACAGACTGAATGTCACAACATGAACATACTAAGTAGATCCTATGATGAAATGGAACTTTTCATTCCTGTAAATTGAATAAATCCACATAATAACAATGCCCTGAGCTGGACAAAGCTTGCACAACCTCAATATATTCTAACATCTTCAGATTTTTGCTAGAATATACGCAGACCAGATTGACATATAGAAGGTGCCACGTATATAAAAAGAAGTATGATAGGATGCTCTCACCTGGCATCAAGATTTATTAATATGAGTCATTGTTTTATCTCATCAAAATACATAATTGTTTTCCAGGCATTGCTTTGTTTGTCTATTGTTTTCTGTCCATGTATTTTATTTGAGGGTTGCGAATGAGATAAGTTACCACTCAAGTGAGACGCTTAATGGATTCTTATAATTAAATCAGTTCTCTTAGTTTGGCATGTCTTAGCCATGAATAAACAGATATTCTATGCACGAATTAAAGGTGTAACTAAAACAATGTTTGATGACGTGATTTGTCACATTTCTAACACTTGTTCATATAATAAGTATAAGCGTTAATTCTTATCTTGAGCACGCGAGACAGCGTTATGTGTGTTCAAAATTCAAAATGCGATGACATAATCTCTAAGTGAGTTTATTTTCGTCAAATTGAATTTTAATATTTATGACAATATTAAATATTCCGCCATTTACATTCATAACCTATATAACTCAGAGACCAGTGAAACGATATATATGTTGAACGTCGCACTAAGGGTACCAATATGGAAGTCAACAATAGAGAACGGTGCTTACCAATAACTCGTCTTTCAGGTCTTTGTATTAGATTTAGGCTCGAAATACATATTCATCGGGATTATTAATTTTAGTTCAACAGTATGCATGCACTCCCCGCTTGACCAGCGGTAAAATAGCTCGTGTGCAAATCTTCGAATAATCTTGTCTAAGTGTCACGTAATGATTTATGGCCTGTGAGTGGGTATACGTCTGATGGCAATATACATCGTATAATTGCATTTGCCCATGGCAAGCGTCCTAAGAGCCCTGCGTACACATAAAACTGTTATGAACGTGTCATGTTACCAATCAAATAATTGATTAATTGAAATGAATAGTGCTCTGATGCAACATCTTCTTCCACGCTACTGGGGTATTAAAAATAGTTGTTGTTTACATCCATCATGATATTTAGCTTAGTTTTCACTATCAGTGTTTGCTGTTATTTCGTGTTTGCCATTGATATTACAGACCTGATTTGATTTGATATACAGCAGAAAGATAATACTTACTGAGACCGCGATTCACCGTTTCATTTTGCGTGGAAAAGATAGAGAGGATGGCATTTAATAAAATATCTTATCACAGTTGTATACGTGACCCGCGTACAAACACGCCTAACATAACGTTCAGTTCAAAAATTGTGCAACAAACACTGTATAGAAATTTGGTTACATATAAAAACAAACAAAAAAATTATTAGAGTTGCCATGGTTACTTTATAATCCAAATAATTGTCTGACATGTTATCATTCAATTCTTCATAGCTTAATACGTCCCACATAGAATTTTGACATTATCTGTCTGTCAATCTCTTTATTGAAATATAAACTCGAACGATACAATCACGCGCATTAGTTTATTTCAACAACCATTCCCTTATATTATGCCATATACCACCCACCTACATGAACCACCCGCTAAAGGTTGGTCACCCACCCACAAACCAAACCACCTCAACCCAACTAAAAGTTTGTCATACACCAACTTGAACACACCTAAATCCAACTAAAGGCAGGTTCCTGTCCACCTGAACCCAACTAAAGTTTGGTCACCCATGCACCAGAATCCAACTAAATGTTTGTCGTCGACCCATCTAAACCAGACTAAAAACTGGACATCTTTCCACTTTAACCCAACTAAAAGGTTCACTAACCCACCTGGATCAAACTAAAATGTTCACTAACCAACCTGAACCCAACTAAAAGGTCAACTAACCCAGCTGAACCCGACTGAAAGGTTCACTAACCCACCTGAACCCAACTAAAAGGTTCACTAACCCATCTGAACCCACTAAAAGGTTCACTCTCCAACCTAAACCGACCAAAGGGTTCACTAACCCACCGGAACCCGACTAAAGGGTTCCCCAACCCACTTTAACACAACTACAACAACCCAAAGATTCGATGTGTACATAAATGAATACATCTCATTGTTCGATACTTTACGATATGCATATTTTGTAATTCAGGAGAGACGAACAATTACTAAAAGCGTAGAGTGGAAGATTCCTGTATTTTCACATCGCGTGTCGTTTATAATGCAACAGATTCAGTATCTATTCAGGGTTGCAAAAAGGAAAGAAAGACATATTCATTCTCTGCACGATCATCCTTTATCTTCATTGGTTACAGCGGCGATTCGATCAGGATAGAGAAAGAGCAACATGTGAAATCGCAAGTGGTTGTCATGGAAATAGCACATAACCTGATTGTAAAACTCAAAAAATTGAATCAGACTGTGCATCTACATAAAAATATCTATTGTATTCAATCAAAATATAATTTATTCAAAATATTATTAACGTATTAATAATTATTGTTATATTCATTATTATAGTAGTAACAAAAATATGACGTAAAATTTCAAGGCAACTAAAACGAAACATATCTCTTAGTTATACATAATGTGCATAAGAATTGGGGCAAACAGACAGTCAATCATTCGTTATTCTGATTTTGTAAACCAATAATTATAAAAGGCTAGATATTTCATATTGTCTCCAGGAACTTGTCCTTTGGCTCTTTTACATGTTGAATGGTACATGCACAGTGGGCCATCGTCTGGCATAAGACCTTCATGTGTGTGTCTTCGAAAAATAAATAATCGTTTAGGCTTGTGGCTTCTTCATTTGACCTTCAAATGCGATCAGATGAACTTCAAATTGTTGTTGCACATGTTTATCTATCTATTCTAGTGAAAAATCATTGAAAATAAAAATAGATTCCTTTTAAAGTTATAGTAGTACTGATTTGTGATGTCCAAAAAGACGGAAGGATATTACACTCAAACTGAGCTGGCGTTCTTTCTTATGTTTGAGAAATATTTAGAGAAATATGTAGCACATTTTCATTATTTATTTCAGATTTAAAATATGATTCTACAAAAAAAATCAAACGTGAACATGTCGATATAACAAAAAAGCAGTACTGTAAACGAACTAATTTTATTCACTTATTTTTAATTGGAAAATTGAATTCCGCCCAATTGAATTCACGTAAAATAAAGATACATACACACAGGAAAGTAATACACGTATATATTTTAAATAAAAAAATTGTACAGTAACTTTTAATAAGTTTATTATTTTAAACTAAATTTTTATTTTATTTTTTAGCCAATTCAATCCAAGGACTTCTGTGAAAAAATTGACATACATGAAACAAACTTATGTGGGCGGACAGGTTTAGATTGGGACTATACATAACATAAAGATGAGACTATACGTAACATAAAAATGGAACTATACATGACATAAAGATGTAACTATACATAACATAAAGATGAGACTCTACATATCATAAAAATGAGACTATACGTAACAT